TAGGTCACTATCACTATACCCAATCAAGCATTCGTTCGAATGCTTCTTCCTGACATAGCAACACCCAAAGTTGATAGTCCCGCGCACATACCTCAATATTTGCTTCACGGCAGTCATGTGAGTTGTTGTTGGCGCCTCCATGTAACGGCTCATTACTCCAACCGAGTAGGCCAAGTCAGGTCTTGTATTAACCAAGTATCTCAAACTCCCTATGACACTTCTATACAAGAAAGCATCAACAGGAGGGCTGGTACTTACTTTGCTCATCTTCAGTCTCGGCTCCATGGGAACTTGACATGCATTGCACTCAGCCATTCCAAGCTTCTCCAATATCTTCATAGCATACCCAGATTGAGACAGGGTGATAGCATGTGAATCTTGCTTCACTTCAATGCCCAAGTAGTAGCTCAATAGCCCAAGGTCACTCATATCAAATATTTTCTTCATCTGTTCCTTGAACATTACAATGTATTCGACGTTTGACCCGATGATGATAAGGTCATCCACATATACACCAACCACTTGGACTGCACCTCCTACTCCTTTCTTGTACACAACATGTTCCAGGGGACACCTGATGAACCCGAGTGACTGTAGGCATTTATCAAGCTTCGAGTTCCATGCCCGGGGTGCTTGCCGCAGTCCATACAACGCCTTCTTCAACCTCAACACTTGTCCCTCGTGGCCTTTAGCTGTGAATCCCAAAGGCTGTGCTACATACACCTCTTCCTCTAGCTCGCCGTTCAGAAATGCAGACTTTACATCCATATGATGTACTTCCCAATTCTCCTGTGCCGCCAATGCAATCAATAGCCGTACAGTTTCAAGCCGTGCAACTGGAGCAAATACCTCATTAAAATCTACTCCCTGTTTTTGTACATAACCCTTCGCCACGAGTCGAGCTTTGTATTTTACTATTTCTCCTTCAGGATTTTTCTTCAACTTGTATACCCATTTCAAGCCAATAGCATGATGCCCTTTTGGTAATTCTGCATATTCCCATGTGTTATTCCTCTCAATTGCTGCTATTTCTTCCGCCATGGCCTGTTTCCAACTCTCATTGCCTGCTGCTTCTTCATAAGTTGCAAGTTCTTCTAAAGATAAGAAACATAGCCCTGCTTCATCATCCATCTCAACTGTGTCATTGTATATCTCCTGCAGGGATCGAAACTTGACAGGTCTCTCAGAGCTAGTGAGTAGTCAGTTGCGTCATGTGCCTGATCATAGCTCCCTGGCGTCCCCAAAATTGCTACAGCTGAGGATGAAGACGCAGGTGAACCTGATGCTTCTGCTCCTTCCAGCGATTGCACATTACTCGACGAACTTGATGTCGATGCAACTTCATTTCTAGGCCGATTGAGTGACTGGTCAGATATGGTTTGCCGAGCTCCTGCTTGTTCCAACTTGAAGTGTACTGTGAACCCTTCACTTGACTTGGATCTGGGATCCCCTTCAACATCCGAAGACTCCCATTTCCATTCCTTGTCTTCTTCAAAAATTATGTCCCTGCTTACATGTAGTTTTCTTGTATTAGGATCATACACTCTATAGGCTTTTGATCCAGGTTCGTATCCAAGGAACACCATTGGAGCACTCCTATCAGCCAGCTTCTTTGTGTATGGACTCACAGTCTTGACGTGCACCAAGCAGCCAAAAACTCGAAGATGTTGAACCTTCGGTTTCCGACCAGTCCACCTCTCATACGGTGTCACTCCTTCCACACTCTTTGTTGGAGCTCGATTGAGTATATATAATGCTGTCTTCACAGCTTCTCCCCAAAATGTAGCTGGTACATGTTTGCTTTTTAATAAACTTCTCACCATTCCCAAAACAGTTTGGTTTCTTCGCTCGACAACGCCGTTCTGCTGCGGAGAGTATGGGGCCGTGAGGAAATGCTTGATGCCCGAGTCTTCACAGTACTGGGTGAATGCTTTAGAGGTGAACTCCCCACCCCTATCGGTTCGGAATGCCTTCAGCTTGGTATTAGCTTCCATCTCTGCGCTTGCCTTTACCTTCTTGAATGCATGCAATGCTTCATCTTTGTTCTTGAGCATCACAACCCACATGTACTTGCTATAATCATCAACAAGCAACATAAAATATTTGTTACCTCCAGGTGTTGTAGGAGTGATTGGGCCACACAAGTCACCATGCATGAGTTGGAGAGGGGTCTCAGCTCGAAAACTTGCACTTTGGGGAAAGTGTGTACGATGATGTTTGCCAATGACACACCCATCACATACTTGAGTTATGTGATCAACTGTAGGCATCCCCTTCACCATTCCTTTCTGAGTTAAATTTCTCAAAGCTTGAAAATTCAAGTGGCCATAGCGAGCGTGCCACAACCAAGCATCTTCTTTAAGGCTTCCCAACAAGCACATTGGATGAGCAGCTTTGAGGTTGAGAATGTACAACCTGTTCTTTGATCTCCTCACATTAGCAAGTAATTTTCTAGCTCTATCATAGATATGCAAACAGTCTCCTTCTATGACTATCTTACACCCATGTTCATCTAATTGCCCCAAGCTTACAATATTGCTACACAACTTGGGTATGAAGTAAACATTGGTGAGGATCCGATGCTCACCATTTTGACATTGAAACATCACAGTGCCTTTTCCTCCGATATCCACGACAGACCCGTCGCCGAACTTAACTTTTCCGATCACTGACTCATCAAGCTCAGTGAATTTTCTTCGGCACCCAGTCATGTGATTACTTGCTCCAGTGTCGAGATACCACACACTGCTATCATACACAACTTCTTCTCTCGGCACAACCTGCTCTTCATGTAACATTATCTCCTCTGTTACGAGGAGGGCAGGTTCATCCTCTCCTTGTGTCTCCACTAAATGAACCTTTTCATCTTTGTTCTTGGATCTACATTCATAAGCAAAGTGTCCAAAGTGATGACAATTGTAACACTTTACCTTGGTTTTGTCGAACTTATTCTCTCTGTGATTGGATTCATTCCCGCGTCCGCCCTCACTACGCACGCGACCACGACCACGGCCACGGCCACGACCACGACCACCTCCTCGCCATTTTGACGAGTTTGACGAGCACTCGACCTCTTCCTTCGCCTTCCACGCAGTTCTCGTCAGCAGGACGCGCTCGTCCTCGTTGTCGCCATAGCCCCGTAGCCGTTCTTCATGGGTCTTAAGTGATCCGATGACCTCCTCCACTGTCATCGTCTTGAGGTTGCCGAACTGCTCAATGGTCGACGCGATCTGAAGAAACTTGGAAGGAACAGCACGGAGAAGCTTCTTGACGACGTAGGCCTCCTCCACCTTGTCCCCCAATGCACGGATCTTGTTAACAGTGGTAGTCAACTTCGTGGCAAATTCATCGACCGTCTCCGCTTCACGCATGCGAAGACCTTCAAACTCGCTCCTCAGAGTCTGGATTTTTGCCTCCTTGACGCGCTCAGCACCCATGTGCATTGTCTTCAACATCTCCCACGCATCCTTAGCCGTCTCCTTCTCAGCTAACACGAGAAGTGTCTCCTCGCTGATGGCTTGATAGATGGCAGCAAGGGCCATCTGATCTTTCCGCGTCTCTATCTCATCGTTGGGGTCAGTGGGCTCAATGGCGTCCCATACGCCTTGTGCACGCATGTACACCTTCATCTTGATCGCCCATGCTGAGTAGTTGCTCTTTGTGAGCAGCGGGTACTGAAGAGAGACCGTCCCTTCTCTTCCAGTTGTCTTCAGCGTCACTGTGTTGCCAGATCCGCTACTCGATGGTGTTGCGTCCGCTGGCATAATCTTTGGCATTCAATCCCAACAATGCTCTGATACCAAATGTTGGTTTTGAAAGTCACTTCCCCTGAGTACGCACACACACTCAAGAAAACAGAGGAAGAAGAAACACAATTATTGCTAACTGCAACCACACACCAACACACTACTTTACTGCTATATATAAAAAAAAAAACTGAATACAAGAGACGTGCAAACGTGCACACAGAAAAGAAAACTGAACAACTAACTGACTGACAATAACTAACCTATACAATAGATAAAACTATCTTAACAAGATTAATTTCAACATGTTCTTAATCGCCCTGCTGAATTTGTGACCAAATCTACAATATAAAAAAAAGAAAAAAAGA